TGTGCCTGGTGGCCCTGGGTCATGTCCATTCCCTCCCCCGTGGCTCTAGACCAAGGATTGTGGTCAAGTCACTCTTCCTCCAGTGGAACTATGTAGGGCTGAGGAGGGAGGGGAGAAGCCACACTGAGAACTTATGACAGGCCCTCAGGCCTCTCCCTTGTCCCCACCATCTGACAACCCAGGCCAGCCAGAGCCTAGCTGACCCAGCACACAGTGAGGGCCTCCCCCCTGCATGACCAGGGCTGACAGCACATGGGGATCCCAGGACCTGTGCTCCTGGGGGGCCCAGGGTAGGTGGGCTGGGGAGGGAGGACATGAACAGAGGAGGAGGCTGGATGTGTGGAGGCTCAGTGGAGGAATGTGGAACTACTACCTGGAGCTCCCCCCCCCCAATTCCTGAACCCCCAGCACTGCCCTGAGACAACACCTGTGATGGGGCAGAGGGTATGTGAGACCAGGAGAAATGCAGAGGCAGGGCCAGGCCAGCTGCCCCTCCCTTACCCCATGCTAAGGAGGAAGAGGCTCTCACTTACCACCGCATTTGCCCTCTGGCTGCTCTGGTTTGTACAGAAGGGGAACCTCTCTGATGGGGGTTGGGGAGGGGAAGTATGTGTGAGGATTCTCCTAGGATGAGTTGGCCTGGGGTAGGAACTACTTCCTGGGACCCTTATAGCAGACAGTGCATGACTGAGTTACCTGGCTGGGCCACACGAGGCACAAGGTTGCAGTTTCCATATGAGGCCATACTTCTGTGCAAGGACACTCCCTGGACTCCTGACTCTCTTCTTCATCCTGCTACTGCTGCTGCTGCTCGTTGAAGGTCCTCTGAGGCTCAGACCCTACTTGTCAGACACCTCCAGAATTGTTTTGTATCTGCGTGGGGAGCAGCCTGGCAGGGAGCCCCAGGGGTGGGACACAATCAAGGCCCAGAAACTCACATGCATTAGGCAGCCTGAAATGCAGACCCTGGCCTGCCTGCTCTTGTCCAGCCTCTGCTTGGTTCCTTCCGGGACGGGGCATCTCCACTGCCCACAGCAGCCCAGCAGCCTCTCAGCTCCTTTTCTGGGGTCCCAGCCAGGGGCCTGGTCACCAGGAGGAGCTGCTCCAGCACAGAGAACACCGTGTGCGGCTGCAGCAAAGGCCACTTCTGTGACGCACAGGACGGGGACCACTGCATCGTGTGCCGGCCCCACACCGTCTGCAGGCCTGGCCAGAGGGTGCTGGAGAGAGGTGAGCTGGCAAGTGACAGATGTCCCCCATAGCCCAGCCCCAGGTGTAGACATCTGGGCTGCTCAGAGTTGTCTGATGGGACAGAAATTGTGGCCAGCCCCATGCCCGCCCACCCAGCCTGTCCTGGCTGCAGCAAATGATGGAAAGGCTGCATGGGGAGGACAGGGAAGGATGGGAGGGCACTGCTGTTGGCTTTGCCTGGTGGTTGGTGGACCCCGACGTCATGCCTCCCTCGCCGGCATCAGGCGTGCACATGTGACTACTCAGCGCCTCAGTCCTGCCTCACTGAGGAGAGTGAGTCCCCAGCTCACCACCCCGGCCAGGGCTCCCTCCACAGCATTTGTCTATGGTCTTGGAGGGGGTCCTAGACCATTAAAATCCCAGCATCTTTTGTGCAGGGACCTCAGGGGACCTCTGAGCCCACCAGTCTCAAGACTATTGTACAAGATTCCCAGTAAAGGTCAGCCATCGCCCTGGCAGGTCCTTCTGCCAAGAAGCAGAGTAGCAGAGCTGGAAGGACTGCAGAGAGACAGACCCCAGGCCCCACTGGAGAAGAGAAGCTCAGCGTCTCACCCTGCCCTTTTTGTCTCTTAGGCACCGAGAACCAGGACACGGTGTGTCAGGACTGCCCACCAGGGACCTTCTCTCTCAATGGGACCCAGGAGGAATGTCAGCCCTGGACCAGGTGAGTGCCAGGGAGGGGCTCCTCCACACTCTCCTGGGAGGTGGGTGCCCTCCCCCAGCAGAGACCCAAGGCCCCACCCCGGGTGCCACCTGGTGGTACCTACCAGCACCCAGGAGAGCCCCTCTCCAGGGGTGAAGCCTGTGTCCCGAGGTAGCAGGCTTCATGGCCCCAGACCAGAGCCTCAGCAGTTCTAGCTTCCTGGAGGTCAGGGTGGACTTTCCCTGGAGTAGTCGTGGAGGGGAGCTGTTGTCACATCCCTGTCCCCTATGGTCTGGGATTGTCCTGAGTGACAGGACTGTGGGAAGGGGTTCCCTGTGTTTTGGAGGTGGGAAAGGCTGTCAGGGGATGTTAATTAGGTGAGGACTGGTTCCTCCTGCCACGTGATCCTTTCCCAATTGGGCTCTGACCCAGAGTTCCCTGGGCCCTCAGGTCTGTGAGAGGAACCCCAGGTAGGCCAGGCATGGTGCAGCGAAGGTGGAGGAGGCAGAGAGGACAAATGCTCTTGGGTCCAACTTGTAGCTAAGGAGTCCCGACTTCATGCCTCCCTCTCAGATAGCAGGCAGGGCCCCAGCTGTGCAGGTGTGACTGTGCTCAGTGCCCCAATCCAACCTCACTTAGAGTGTGAGTCCCCAGCTCACCAGCCCCCAGCCAGGGCTGCCTCCACTGTATTTCTCTATGGCAATATCTATGGAGAGGTCCTGGACCATTCATATCCCAGCCTCATCATGTCCAGGGTGGGGTGCAATGTCTTCCTGCTTTTCTGCCCTGTCCTCTGTCCTCATTGCTGTCCTTATGTCTCCAGGTCTGCCAGCTCTCCCGCCCTCTGCCCCTCATCCTGCTCTGGGCTCTGGCCTGCAGACCGCCTTGGCCCTCCTCTCTTTCTTTTCTTCTCATTTGCTGTCCCATTCCCTGCCTTTCTTTCCTTCTCCTTGCCTCTCTCTGTCCCCCAGAGGTGCTTGAAAACTCAGACCAGAGATCGCATCCCTGAGCTGTGACCAGTGTTCAAACCTCTCTGGGTCCCTATGAATCAGAGCCTACCACTGAGTTCTGAGTGACTCTTGAGTGGATCTCAATGCCTGCCATGGACTCCAAACTCCCTGCTCCTTTCTACCAGGTGTGATGCTTTTCTTGAGACAGAAGCTGAACCTGGAACTAGTCATACAGATGTCACCTGCTCCTCCTGGAGGCGGGACCTTTTATTAAGCATTCTGTTGGTGTTGGTCTTGGCTTTTCTTTGCATGATCATCTATACATACGTGATCCAAAAAAGGACATCCAGAGAGCAACGCACCTCAACTCTGCTGTGGTTCTGGAGCAGACATTTCTCATCTCAGCAACCATCCATGGACCCGTCACTCCAAGGCCTTATGTGGAGGTCCACAGAAGAATTTTTGGATGTTGACTCCCAGCTATCCACGCATCCATCACACCATCGCCTTAGGCGGAGGACCACAGAAGAATTTTTGGACATTGGCTCCTGTTCAAAGAGGAAAGGTCTACCTAGGAAGAGAGGGTATTCTTGCCCTTCCAGGTTCATCACAGTGAATAAGGGGGAAAAACAGGTTGTGTGAGTATTGGACAGGTTCCAGGCTAGAGAGGGACCCCAAATGCTGATCAACAGGCTCTGGGACCAGACTTCTGAGACATCTCAGGCAATGCCTCCTGGAAGCTGCTTCCACCTGCCCGTGTGCATGAGCATGGGCACTTGATGGGACCTTTCTCAGGCTGGCTTCAGCCTCCACCAGGAGGGAGACGTGGTCACTGTTTTTACATAGACGAGATGCCACCTGCCATCCCATCAGGGAAATGAGGGCTCAGAGCTTTTCTGTCTGCCCTGAGTCTGTCCAAGCTCTCCCATAGGGACGCACTGCTGTGGGGAACACCAACAGCCCTGCTTGGCTTCAAGAGTCCTGCCCCCAGCCCACCCAGCAAGGCACTCTGGGCCCTACCTGAATCTAGCTCATCTGGACCATGAGCAAATCTCAGGGGTGGGATTCGACCAGTCGGACCACATATGTGTCATCAAGTGGATGTCACATTTGAAGTGATTCTCTGGGATGTATTGTACCTGCTCCCCATTCCCTGTCTTTGAGGAGAATGTTTTAAGGAGATACTTTGAGACAAGATCAATGTCTTGTTTCAAGTCATTGACTGCCTGTCCCCTCCCCACCCTGCCCTTCCCCTTTCCATTTCCTGGCCAGCTCCTGCCTCCAGCAGAGCCCACCCTGTGCCCTCCTCCACACCCCAGGGCAGCCCAACTCAGCAGAGCTGAGCTGCCAATCTCCCCAGGCCCATCCCCTGCCCCTCCACACTTCACCTCTTCTCACTCCTTTATTTCCTGTGCAGCCTCTGTCTCTTCTGGACATCCTTCCCCTGGTCAAGCATCCTGTGGGTGTGGGACAGGCCCACTCAGACTGCCCAGTACCCTGGGCCAGAAAGGCACAGCTCTTCCTTACTGCCAGCAACCCCTTCCCTACACTCAGTGGAGGTAGAGACTAGGGGTGCCTTGTTGATCTATAGTCCTTTCTGTGCTGCCGAGTTGCTGGGGGCTCATTTCCTAGGTGCCAGCTTGCGGGAGATGGACAAGTGGCTCCAGGAATCTAGTCACTAAAGTCGACTCTTTCAGGTTCTACCCATGGGGACACTGCTGACCCATTTCTGGTCCCTACCCTCAGTGTTTACACTCTTACTGGATGAGACCTGCTTGCCCCTCCCATGGCAGCCCCCTCTCCAGCCCAAGGGTGCTCTCTCGGGGTCTCCCAGGCCTCCTTGTGCAAGGGACAGTTCCCAGTCTTTGTCAGGGCACTGCCCACCACCATCCTGGACCTGTTCTATGGCCAGGGATGGTCCTTAGTGCTAGAGGGAGACCATATAGTTTGGATAATGGTTTCTCCCACAAAGGGTCATGGTTCTGAATTTGGATGTCTGCCCAAAATCCAGGTGTTGAGATCTGATGATAGTAACAGTGCTTAGTGAAAACTTACTTCCTTTATGATATCCCAGAGCGTGGCAGAGAGTGTTGAATGTGATGACCTCGTTAGACCAGGTCTCTGTGATTGGGTTATGGTAGACGTCTACGCAGAGAGCAAAGTACGGCATTCATGGATATAGACCATGCTCTGCGCTGCTCAGACTTCTACTTCCCACCCTTCTGTGATGCCTTTGGGTTTTCCAGCCACCAGAAATGTGAGTTTTGTAAATAAACTTCTATTTTGAATAAGTCACCCAGGCTCAGGTCTTTCTGTGAGTAAAGCATTAGCAGGTTAAGAAAGAGGTCAGCACCAGGTGGGCACTGGATTCTTCCATGTAAGGAGAGTCCCCTCCCAGCTTGTTCCTGAGAGTACCAAACGCAGCTGTGGGCTCAAGGAGTTGGTGGTCCTGGGATCCAGGATGGAGGGAGAGATTCTCAGTCTTCCATCCAGGACCCAGAAAGAACTCTGTTCACCTCAGTCTCCCCAACTATGAGGGAGAGGAGCATGTCCACCCAAACAGGGAGGATGCACCTCTTAGGCACCAAGGACATCAAGAGAGTCCTGAAGAATTCTTCAGCCCAGTTGTGGCAGCCTGCACTAAACAGCCAGCACAGCTGGGAGTTCACAATGGGCAGGTTCGGCCCCTCACTGCTCTAGGACTAGCCCCAGTGGGCAGAGTGTGTGGTGCCCTTCTTGAGTGTTGGAACAGGAAGTGATGCTATGAGGGCTTAGCCATGAGCCTGTGCCCTGAAAGGGTCATTCCCAACTAGGCCTATGGAGCTGGTGACATAAGGGAGGAGACGGATAGCCAAGACCAGTGAGCTGTGTCTTCACTCAGGGCTTGCCCTCACACAGGCCCATCCTTCCTATGGCTGCACCATTCACTTCTGGGACAAAGTCTTTTCTCATCTGGTGGCCCTGGTTCTAAATGTAGGCTTTATGATTATTCAGGTGTGAGGAGGCCAGGAAATGACCACTGAGGAGAAGATAGTTTATAGCTCCCAGTGTCCAGGAGGCAAGGGCAAGTCATGCCACACAGGGCCCATGGGGAAGCACCTGGGTTCCCAGGAGGCAGAGGGAGCAAGGAGTCGTGGGTCAGAGCCTTCTTAGTGCTTTCCATGGGAAAGCCAAGCAGGGTGAGCAGGTATGGGTTTGGCTAATTTGACTCACATCAGTGGATTCTAGGGTGCAAGGCCTATTCCAGCTGCCTGGTACAAGCCCCGTGGTAATTAGGGCAGAGAAATATTGACCTGGGATAGACAAGACCAAAAGAGGGGGGCAGTTATAGATCAGTTGGTATTTGTATAAAATGTGGCCTCCTTGTTTCCTCTCTCTAGAAATGGCTGGTCCAGGTGAGTACAGTCCAGCTTTCCAAATATCGGAATAAAAACATGATTGGAACTTGCATTGTCGTGGCTTGCTGGATTAACACAAGAGGGAGTTCTTGATAAACTCTAAGACCACCTCTCATGTAGCCCAGCTGGGTGTGGCCCTCAAGAAGATTGGCTCTGGAGACTTCCAGAAGTCTTCAGAGGGAGAGTTAAGGGCCATACCCATCAGAGCCCTTCCTACAGTCTTAGGTGGCCATGAGCACTTAGGGGCTCAAGGGCTGTCTACAGAGCCTCTACTCCACACCCTGCAATGCTTTTAAATCCACTAAGGCTTGTTTGTCCAATGGTTGAAGACCTGTGAGAATGTGTGAGGACCGTGCATTGTGTGGTGGTGGGTGAGGCCTCCTGTAAACACCAGTGAATGAGACGGCTGGCTGCTTGTGCCATCTGGGCTCCCTCCATCCTCTCTGGACATTGGTCTCCTGTCAGTGCTTTAGTGAGGACTAGAAAAACCTCCACATGATTTCATTGAGAAATCTGCTGATTCTGTGGATGTTTCCCGAGTTACTGTGAAGCTTTGTTGTCAGATGAACACACATTTATGATTGCCATAACTTCTTGGCCAGTCGAGTCTGTCATAGTGTTTAGTGACCTTTTTCGTACTGGGTCACATTCCTTCTTCTTTTTATTATTATTAATTTTTTTAGATATTTTTGCTGTAGGGTGCGTGTGCTCGCCAGACAGACAGAGACAGAAAGCGAGAAATCACCCCCCAGGGGGGATGGCCATGCCACAATCCCTTCTCCTCCATTCTCCTCCTGGGATCTTGGGCACGCATGCACACACGCCTGGCATGAGTTTTAAGCCACTGGGTCCAGGACTTGAACCGCAGTCAACTACATAGAAATCCAGCAACATAGCCATTATGCTAACTGCTGGTCTCCCACATTCCTTCTTCTGATATCCACTTTGTCTGATATTAATACACTCTTAATCCATGATTCATTTTTAATCTACATGAATCTTTTACTTAGAATGAATTTCTTGTAGACAGCATGTTTTTTACTAGAATGTCTAGACCACTTGCATTAACACAGAAGCCTTTGTTAGTACTCCATGATTAAGCAGGAATAGGTAGATCAGTTATGCAGAAGACAGATCAGACAGATGGCAGGTAGCTACGCCGGTGGATAGAGTCAGCAAGGATGGAGGCCAGCTGTAAAACAGACTCAAACACACATCACATATCAAATGAAAAAACCAAGCGCACTAAAATAGATGAGAATGAAATAAAAACTAACTCACGGAACATTCCAAAGTATTTATAGGCCCTAAAACTAAGGTGGGAAAAAAAAGAAAGCTGCTAGGAAATATTGGGCCATAGGTACGTGGCAACATTCTCACAGGGGCAGCGATCCTAAGGTGACTTCCTGTGTCTTCTAGCACTGAGCAAATGGTGACTATGTCCCGGGTAAAGGAAGTCAGGGCCGACTTCTCCATCTGTACATGGGTCCCACAGTTACATTCTAGTGCAGCTCTGTACCTGGTGCTGGGGTGCAGGAGCTCAGAGAAGGCCTCAGTGCACAGGGCATGTGCAGTCTGCTTAGAGACAGCAATGGACTGAATTGTGCCCCCCTAAATTCATATGATGAAGCCCTGATCTTCAATGTGACTATATCTAGAGGTGGGGACTTTAAAGAGGCGACAGTTAAATGAGGACTTTAGGGCGGGCTCTGGGGTCCTTATCAGAAGAGGAGAAGGGACCAGCAGTTAGCAAAATGGCTATGTCGCTGGACTCCCACGTA